CAAAATCATACCGGCTTGCCGCACTAAGGCAGAAATCTTAGCCGCACAGATGCAGAAGGCTGTCATTCTTGGCTCACTGCGTTTGCTCAGGGCACATGATTCTCGGACCCAATGATCACTTACCCCACGGTGTGGGGAGTGGTCATTGGTTGATTATGCTGGCGCGCCCTCCCGAATGTGTCGGGGCTTCGGGGGATAGGGCCTGACCAGCGCACACTACGGTGAAAAAAAAATTATAATAATAGCGTTTATTGCCCAACAGTTTCCCATTTACAGAGCAAAACTAACATACTTGAAGGATTAATACTATTTGATATAAGATCAATACTATTTGATATAAAAAACATAAATGACTTATAGGTACGTAGGAGACTTATTTTTAATTTCACAAATACTACAACAAAAAATATCGATGTAAGTAGAGAGCTTGATCGTATTACGACACATCAGATTGATTGGTGATTTCAACATTGAGTTAGTTTATGCCCTTTTGCATAAAAAAGTATTGACGTGCCTAGAAGATATTCTTGGAACAAAGATATCAATTTCTGATGATAGTACAGGACAATCCAATTTGCCATTCAATAGCTTATATAGAAATAAAACAGATGCCTGATTTCTTCTTTTTTCTAAGGCTACAAAGTCAAATCTGCATAGCAGATCAGGGTAATCACAGTTTCTTGGAGGATAAGTTCCGGTCATTCTAAAAGTAAGAAATTTTAAAAACTTCTTTTGGACTCTATCAATTGCTGATGTGTATTGATGGTATATGGGATTCCCTATAATGGACCCATATTCTAGTTTTGGCCTCACTAGTCTAAAATACAGAGAGGTCAAGGTTAGCATATTATGAACATTTTTGCAGTTCCTTATTATAAAACCGTATGCGCGGTAAGATGAATTTATTATATGAAGTTAGTTGATGATCAAAATAGATTCCTAGATCCCTAATATTCTCAGCTCTTTCCAATATAATGCTGTCGATGTGGTAAGGAAATTCTAGTGTATTAAGTTTCCTACTGAATGTAACAATTTTACATTTCTTGAGACACCAATTTTGTAAAAGATCAATCTTCTTTTGCATAATGTTACAATCATCTAAACTGTTTATAGATGTATACAGTTTCAAATCATCAGCAAACATCAATTTATTGCAAGTAATTGAGTTGCACAGATCATTAATAAATAGTAGTAAATAATAAATAGTGTTTTGTTGTATTGATAGTGAAATAAAGTTGAGTTTGATTATAGTTCAATGCAGTCAATTATTCTTAAATCCACGGGAAAAACGTACCAAGTTGAGTTTGATTATAGTTCAATGCAGTCAATTATTCTTAAATCCACGGGAAAAACGTACCATTTGGTGTCGGTAGTGGAATAATTGACTGAAAATTTTCTGTTTTATGGTGAAAACAAGGATTGTCGATTATGACGAGATGGAGAGGAGCTTGACGGAATTGGAAAGGAATTTGAAAAGAAGCTTGGATTCGACAAAAAGTTTAAAGGAGTAGACAAAAAGTTGGATGAGGTTTTCCAGGAAATTCGGAAAGAATTACCAGAGCCGAAGAGGATTGCTGTGGAAAAGTGCAAATCGGAAACAACATACCTCCCTTCTCGCAGTAGTTTTATCGAAACTCCTACCTTTGATGGCGAATCTTCATGGTCAATTTATCGCAGACAATTTGAGGTTGCTACGAAAATAATTGCTGGAAAAATGAAGAGAAAGCAACAGCTCTTATACTGGCACTACAAGGAAAAACCTAAGAAGTCTTGCAAAATATCCCAGTAAATGAGCAGAAGGATTATGAAGCAGTCGTATCAGCTTTGGATATCAGGTATGGTAGTGAGCACCAACAACAAGTCTATCAAGCTTAACTAAAGGTGAGAGCTCAAGGTCCATCAGCGAGTCTGCAGGAGTTTGGGGCTGAAGTCGAAGATTGGTAAGACTCGCCTACCCAGAAGCACCTGATAACTTTACCCACGGGATTAGTGTCCATAGTTGACTGGGTTCGTGACACGGAGCTACAGCAATCATTGAGGGTGGCGTGTCATAATAAATTAAATGAAGCCATAATTTATGCCCTAGAACTTAAAGCTGCCAAAAACGTTTCGCGATAACAACAAAAAGTTCTAGTGGGGGCCATCAATGAAAAGGGAGACGAAGGAACAGATCGACTCATGGTAAGTCGAGACGAACTTCTAAAAAAATATTTGGTGAATGGGACTGCACCCAAGACAAGAAGGCGGCCTAAATTCTGAAGCTGCGGCAGAGAAGGGTATTTAAGGCGGGGCTGTCGTTCACTCTCAACATCCGACGAAAGAAGATACTGGCGTTCGAGATCACCCGAACTGGAGCTTCGGGGTTTGGTAAAACTTACTTCAGCCAGCGTTAAGAGAGGATACATTTGCTGCTGCATCCCAAGCCCTCAGGTATTCGAATTCCACGATGGACGCAACAGTAATATCTTAGTTGTCAACGGATTTTTGAATAATCATCAGTGCCTTTTCACTGTTGATACTGGAGCAACGAGGCCAGTAATGAGAGCCGACATTTCCAACGGAAGCAGTTTGAAGAAATTATCAGTGGTACCTGTTCTGGACACAGCCACTGGAGATATATTGACAGTCTATGGAAAGGCTAAAGTGAGACTAAGGCTTGGAAATTGCGGAATAGAAGCTTAGGTCTTAGTTGCCAAAATCGCCGGCAGATTCATTTTGGAACTAGATATTATATCCCCTAGGGATTCGTGGTGGACATAAGGAACAAACTGTAACAGGTTGGAAATTAGAAAATTTTGCTAAATTATTGAATAATAGGATACGTAGGGGTGCATTACTTTAACAAGAATACAATAACATCAAAAAGAAATAACTTCACAAATAGGGGTAAATATATTGAAAGACCAAGAAGGCGAAAGATTTAATTAAATGTAGAAAAATCAATGGTATTTGGATAAAAACAATTAAGGATCAGGAACTATATATAGTGCATTCCATTTAAAACAAGCCACCCTGAATAACTTTTGGTATAATGATTTTCAGGAAAAATACAAAAATACGTCAAAAATAGTATAGGTACCATTTGTCAACACTGCGAAAGAAAGCATATAATTACCACATTGAATTAGAGAAAATAGGCATTGATTTTGTTAGTGAATTAATAACAACCACACAGGAAAATAAACATATTTTTGTAATTGTAGACATCTTCACAAAATTCATTAAATTATATCCTCGTAAAAGAGCAAATGTAAAAATAATGAAAAATTGTCTTCAGCAATATTTTGAGGAGATAGGAAAACCACAAAAATGTATCATGAAAAATGAGAATTGAAACTTTCTTTGTTTTTTACGACTTTTATTTGTGACTGATGTTACTGCATTTTCAAACTTATACATTGAACTAAAAATGATTGATTATATTAGCCCTCATATTACACCACTGTAGGTAATAACAGAGGTACTTAACTTAATTGAGAACTTGAATTTTGGGAAATTCAAACCCTTTCAACAATAGTTTCCTTGCCGATGTAACTACTACTCATCTTACTATCCCCGTGTGCATCAGAGTTTTTCCTATAACTAATAAACAACAACACTATTGGAGTATACAAAATTATCAAACAACCTTTGGACCTTATTGGTATATCAGACTCGATCCTCATAACAAAAGCATTAGATCATAATCAAAACATAGTTTTTTCTAAACGTATAATTCAAGAATGTCATACTTTTATGGTGATGTTAAAGGAG